TGGTAATTATCCGTCGAATAAAAATAAGTTTTTTCTTATGTTTCGAGGTGAGATGTTCCCGATGTACAGGATAGGATGATAATCACAGTATAATACACTCTACAAAAGAGCAAGTCGAAGAATTCCTAAACCACGTGAAAAAAATGTTACCACTTTCAAAGTTCGCGCTAGTCAAAGGACTAATAGAATACTGGGTTTACAAAAATAAAAACCGATGGAGAAGGTTAAGGTGGAAATAAGGATTGACAATAATAGGTTGCGTTTCTTTAGTTAGGCTCACCAATGTAGAATTATGGTCTACTATGATATTAGTACTGCTCTAATAATAGACCTAATCCTAAATTTGTAGATTTGTCATGATATAACTGCCTAATCTATAAGATCTTACGTGGAAGTCACACCATCGACTACACCAACTCACTGTATCGTATCAATTACCAATACATGATGTAGAACAAGGTTAGGCTAGAGAAGGAACAATATATTTAATATGAATAGAAGATATAAGGTAACATTCAGCAGAGACCACGCCTGCATGGCCGAGCCATGCCACTCGATCAACTCCAGTCCATTCAATTCATTCTCCGCGCCTTCTCCACGGTTAGGTATTTCCCCAAGTTAAATATTGAATATCTATTTTCTGAGTAGTCTCGTGTTCACAGCTTTGTGGATTGTGTGGCTATTGTCCAATGCCACTAGAGGTTTTCCTTTTGCCTCCTGTAGGTTTGGAGTCGATTCGTGTAGTCAGTCTTTTGGATTTGCTGGGAGAACGCTAACTTCTGCGCCAGTGTCTTCGAGGTAGGGAACTATCGTTGTCACATCTGTGACATAAAACAGACGGCTATATTCGCCGGCTACGGTTGCCGTTAACGCGTGCCGACCTGGAAGTTTCCCGAGTTGTTTTTCGAGTCAGTCGGTATTGTGTTGGGAAAATCGCAGGATTTTCTGCATTTTCTGGAAGACTTTTTATACTGGTTATGATACCAGCACCAGTCTGGGTTATCTGTCTCTCGTGGTCTAGAGACAGATCGCTTACGTGATATGCTTCTACGTGGGGTGCGCGATCTCTTACGATCGGTACGAAGACTAAGATAACGCGTGAGTGTATGACATAACTCGGTTATATCATTCTGAGTCGTTTGAGGCTTTTCTTTGACTGAAAATACCTCGTTAGTAGAGGGTTTCGTAATTTCTAAAATGCGGTCGGCAGATGCAGCTAGCTCGTCTAAGGCATTGTTCTGAAACGAGACCAGAACTGCTTGCACCTGTTGGGGAAGTTTTGACAAGAAGAGTTGTTTGAATAGACCAATTCAACGTTCGTAACACGACTTAAATAGGTAAGCAAATCAGATAGTTGAAAAGTCTGTTTTATGGGTTAGATGTCCACATAGTATATCACACTGCTACGAAAATAACTAATGGTTTAAAGAAGTAAGGACTAATAGCAAATCAAAAGATATGAGAGGTTATAAAATTGTAGAAAAAAAAAGATTTCAGGGTAAGACAAATAAAGCATTGAGAAACTCACAAGACTTTGTGGCCAAATTTTGAGCTTTGTGTGATCGGCCTTAGTAGATCAGCATCCATAAGATTGAGCTATCTGTCTACTTGCAGTAGAAAAAAAAGCATGACTTTTAGGAAGAATAATGCACATTTAACCTGTAGAGATTTGGGGACTGAAAGCTAGGGTTAGGAGCATGAAGTCATGATTAATAAACAATGAATAATAGGAAAGGATAAGCCATATATCCTGTGATTTGGTTATATTTAGATTAGTAACAGTCGAACTTGTTATAATTCTGTTCTTTCTAGATACTAGGCGGTCCGTAATAAAGTGCCTCATCGGTGGGCGGGAGTTCAAGGAAATGTTGAAGCTCTTTGGAGTCTAGAAATAGGGTTATTAGCTTTTTGAATCTGGTAAACGTATCACAGTTACGGATAGGCATTGGCAGCCTGTTCCACAATAAACTGTACCGTACTGTAAAGAACTTACAACGCATTTGTTTTTGGTGTTTTACGGTAAGTAGTGTATATGCGTTGTTTCTAAGTCTATAGGCTGGGTCGTGGGTGATAGTCGGGCAGGAGGTTAGAAAGGAGAGCCCATATATCGCTTTGTAGAGAAATATTAAATTGTGTTTTAGCCTACGGTGCCATAAAGGTTCTAAAGATAGATGCTTACATCTGTCTGTGTAATCGAGATTCCAGTTACATCCTAGTAGTTGACGTGTGAAACGTCTTTGAACATCTTCTACTCTTATCTTGTCTGCGATATTCATATTAGAGAAGACAAAAGAGCAGTATTCAAGGGTGGGTCGTACACATATTTTGTAGAGAGTAAGTTTACCCTCTGTCGTGAAAAAGTTTTACATTATAAAACCAATTAGCCGTCTAGATTTAGAAATAATAGAGGAGGCATGTCCTTCAGAGTTCAGGCTTCCTGTGTAATTAATTCCTAAATCGCGTACTGATTCCAGTGTTTGGACTCTACGTTCATTTAAGTGAATTTGCGTTTTATAGGGATGCTTTCCAAAGTGCATGATCCCGCGCTTGTTGAGGTTAAATGGTCATTGACATTTTTCACTCCAGATAGTTAAGTTATTGAGGTCATTTTGGATCTGGGATACACTTTCGCTTAGTGTCTCAGGCTTATAGCTGTATACTATTTTGAGATCATCAGCATATAAGTATGGTTTCCCAAATTCTATGGTGTTACATATATCGTTTATATACATAAGAAACAAAAGTGGGCCTAATACGCTTCCCTGGATGACTCCACTGGTGATTGGTCTAGGGGACAAGAGACAGTCATTGTACTTTACCATCTGTTTGCGTTCTGTTAAGAACGAAGCAAACCATGAGTACAGTGGGTTGTGTATTCCGAAGGACTTTAGTTTGACGAGTAGCCTTTTGTGTGGGACCTTATCAAAGGCTTTCTTAAAGTCTAGGAATAGGACTGATACAAGGAGTCCGCTGTCTCGTTTCAGAGTTATATCATTCAGGTAGTCTACTAGGCATGTATCGCATGATCTGGACCTAAGAAATCCATGCTGGGAGGTCGACAAGAGATTGTTAGTTAATAGATGTTGGACTACAGCCGCCTTAACTACTTTTTCCATCATTCTGGATACCACTGAAGTTATGTTTATAGGCCGGTAATTTTCAACGTTTGCTTCAGGTCCTGTTTTAATTTTGGGAATGATATGTGTAGTTTTCCAGGCAGTAGGGTAACACGCTGAAGACAGTGATATCGCGAATAGTTTGAGAAGCAAAACACACATATCATCACCTCCGCGTTTTAGCATGCTAGATGGAATACCATCTGGTCCATCAGTGTAGGAGTGTTTCAATGTACTGATTGCTTTGGAGATATTTTGTACATTGAATTCTACATTAGTAATTTCACAGGGAGGTACTGTGATTGGTTCTGAATCATTAAATGGTTTTTCGCTAGTTAGTGAGGACCAAAAGTGTTCACTAAATAATTCTGTGACAAGTTTGAGATCTTCGTATACTTGTTTGCCTTTAATGAATATACTCCCTCTCGATTTAGTGCGTTTAAGTTTATTTTGGAGTAGTATGGTGAGTGCAGAGGAGTTATTATTAAGCTCAACTGCACGTTTTTCCTGTGCTACTGCTTTTTGTTTACTTATTGCCTCTGTTCGGACAAGTATTTCTGTCATCGTTATTAAAGAGGAAAAGTCATTTAAGTTGTGGAATCGAGTACAATGTCTTTGAAGACGTCTTCTTGTACTGACCGGTATATAGAGATCTTTGGAGAACATAGGTTTACAGTATTCTAAAGGTGCGATGTTGTTGATGATATTGTTTGAGGTAAAGAAAGTTCTCCAATCAGTGCTTCTTAGGTAATTGTGGAAGTTATTCCAACCAACCTTGCGATAGTTTCTACGAAGTGTTACGGTTTTACTTCTATCGGTTGTGGTTTTTACATTAAGGCTGCATATGACAATGTTATGATCACTACCTGGGAACTTTTTTCCAATATACAAAGTATTAGGGATGAGGCCACTGGTAAAGACTAAGTCTAAGATGTTTTGATGTCTGGTAGGGCTATCGACATACTGAGTCCATTGTCCAAGCTCTAGACATTCAATAAATGATTCATAACGTCTCGGCGCTTTGACTGGCAGCCAAGAAATTTCGGGCGTATTGAAGTCACCACAAATGAGCTTGCCTGTGAATGAGAGGGATGCTGCTAGTGTGAATACCTCCGATAATACTGCTATTTCATCTATTGATGCGTTAGGTTGACGATAAACACAGCCGAGCAGTAAGGTAACGGAATTCGACGGCTTTAATACAATCCACACAGAATCCTTCAGTTTGTTTAGTTCAGGCATATCACATAGCAGTGAGTTCAGGCTAGAGTGAGCGTAAATAAGGCATCCTCCGCCTCGTCCATTCAATCTATCGCTTCTATATAGGGAATAGTTATCTAGAGATATGCTTCGGTCGGAAATATTACTGTTAGTCCATGCTTCAGATATCATAATAAGTGATGGTTGATAGGTGGATACAAACAGGGCTAAATCCGTCTTTTTGTTGCAGATCGATCGAGCGTTGATAAGACATATATTAAGCAAGTGGCCTACTAAGTTAAAATGGGTGAGGGTATTTCGGATAAAGTCGTCGTAACCCTCGCGAGTGTAAGATGAGTTTGATGTGAGGGATTGGATGATCTTCATTAGCTCGGTATTTTGATAGTTAAACTTATTGGGAGATGTATCAAATGAGCTGGTGAAGTTAATTGGGGAGTTTACCCAGGAGGAAAGGGTGGGAGTACTCTGTGATGGAAACTGTACGGAGGAAACAAATTTATGGTTTGCATGTGGTTTGAAATAACCTGGGCTATGTGCTTCAACAGAGGTGTCACTAGGGGTCTTATTCCAAAAAAATCTTGCACAGGCCTACTGTGAAGTGTATGGTTATTTACAAAATAGTCTTGATGGTTAGACTCGTAGCCCCTGTTATGGCTATTTACGTTAGCGCGAGAGGGGTCTGCTACGCGTAACTGGGAGGAGTTGCGACTGTTGTTATACATGAGAGCCGTTGTTATGTGATGGGTCGGCACTAAAGGGTATGAGAAGTTTTCTTTTTGAGAGTAATTACAGTTGCGATCCTGGGGAATGTAGGTAGGGTGTGGAGTTAGAAACCTATTATTACCGTTCTTATTTATGGTTTTAGGCTTCAGGGGGTGATTTGGGTGGCCAGTTCTCTGGTAGTTTTCGTTAGTCTGCGTGTAAGAAGGTCTGCTATGTCGAAGCCCACCACCCTTTTTGCAACTTGGAGGTGTTGAAGGCAAGTTATACGATAGCAGCGGGGAGAACCTGTTCACTGTTCTTGGGATACCTATAGAGCAGTTGGGTTCAATCTTACGTGTTTCCCTATTCGGTATCATGAGTTTTGTCTTCCCACCCTTTATTTTCAGAGCAGGATTCTTTCGTTGTCTTTGTGAGATGAACTTACGTTCATTCAAGTCTACTTGTGGAATGTCTTTAGGAGGACAAATTTTCAAGTGTATAGGTTTAGTTGGATGTGTGTTGTTACACGACTCACATTTTAGTACATTACTGAACGAACAGCTGGGATTAGTCATGTCGTTATGGTTTTTGATGTCAGTTGGGGTCCGTATCTTATCCAAAGGTTTCTGATCTGTAGACTCATCTAGATCAACAGAGTGATCAGCCGTATGTGGAGTGGTCTCATGCTTATTGTTCGTATGTTTTAAACTATTTGCTATGTTGCAACCTGTCTCTGGCTGATTATTAACTGTAACACTCCCATTCAATTCTATCGCTTCACGTCTTCTTACACGACGTTGACAGGGCGTAAGGTCTGGAGTGACTTTTATATTTTTGTATGGAATTAGTGAGCTAATATTTTTGCTCAAATCAATAAACTGCTTAGCATCGTTACAACAGCCAAACATAAACAAAAGGGGGCAAGTCGATCTGTCTGACTTTTTCCTAAGGTGAATGACTTTGCAGTTAACGTTCGGCAGACCGCATGCTCTGAGGCAAATATCCCTAGATATTTTGGTGTTCATTTTAAGGTCCTGAAGACGGACTATCACAATTGGATGTTAGGTGGGACATGTGGCTCAAAAATCTACATCAGTTAACGTCACGTAGGTCTCGGAGTGGACTCAAATCTTTTTTCAGTGAGTAGACACAAGGAACCGCGATCGTATCTTGAGGTAAATATTTCAGGTGTTGCTTATTCCTTGGAACATTAGGTTATGTGTATTTTCGGGATGCACCGGTAAATGCTCTGTCGTTAAGGTCAAAAGAAATAAAGATGCGTCAAAATTAAGGTAATTTTGAAGTGATTCGAAGTCCATGTTTGAGTCATTTTCAGTTTTTTGGTATGATGAGGACTGGTTTAGTTTACTTATTCTCTTCACATGACAACATTAGAACTTCTGGAACCTAACATGCTGGGGTCTTTTAGATGATTAACGGCAACTATGTATCTGCTTTTATATTGTTTGTTTGTAGCCTGTAATGGAGTCTCAGTCCAATTATCTCCATATCCTCAATCTCTACTCTTTGGAAGCCTCTGGGTATTAGCCTTTTAGATTAGACCAATTATAACCCGGATGATCATGTGTGATATTTCATCATGCGTTTATTTTCGTGTTTATCCACATGACTAAATAGGAACTTTTATTAGTGTAAACTCTCATATCTGAAACTGTTTGCATGTTTGCGAGATCGCCATATTTCATTATGCCTGTGGGCTATATAAATTAGTACAACCAATTATGATGAGTAAATTAACACACGTGAAACAATGTAACACGCGTTTATTTATCGTTCCGAACATCATGTTTGGTCAGTTGGTAAAATTTGGTCAAAATACAATCATCACAAACATCTTATATTTCACATACTGTTTCTGCATTGGTTTCAACCATTGTAGTACTGGTGTTTTATTAATTTAGTAACCCAAAGTTATATGAAGTAATTGAGCATGAGAGATTGATCTAGTTGTAAAAATGATAAGGGAGAGCAAACTACGGAAGACTCGGTAGCATTTGTCGCTTCCTTCCTGTTGCCTTGGTAATTATTCTGCTTCATAACGTGCGCGAATGAACTTATCTGCAGTTGCTAGATCGTTCCACTGGCTCAAGTAGTTGTTTTCTGTACTGAAATATATGTTTGCTTTTCTTTTATTCTGCTGTTGACATATCACAACTCCAGTGGCTGAGGAAAACGACAAACATCATTCGTTTACATTAGAAATGGAATGAGCCTTAAGATCATTCCTTGTTCATCATTGACAGATTGTTATCAAAGATTATAATAATATCTATTTCTGGTAGAGCAGGTACATGCATTATTCACGGGAACTATCAATAATATACAACACTGGTTTACAGGTACACTGACATAGGGTATCCCCTATTTGCACCTGATTCAGAAGCCAACCAATAGCTTTTGGTCGGTTAAGGAGACATTTGATCATGGCTTGCTTTTATACATCATATGGCCTTTCGTGATTCGGTTTAGGCTAAACTTCTCGTATAACATCTGCAGCTTCGCTCAAAAAGAGTGTGCTTGCGCAACCGAATTTGTCTCGTTGCAAGTTAATACGGTTAGCCTGAAAATAGTTTACAAGTCTAATCCAAGCTGTGAGACATTAACATTAAAATACAGATTAGAAGGTTTAAGAAACATCACAAACGATGATCGGAGAAGACTTGACTACGCATTTTCTGAGGACATCTTTTTAAAGAATAAGCAGTACACGAATGAAACGATTTTTGTCCTAAATGATACAGTGTGTAGCGGCATTGGTGTGTAACTATACGACTCTTGAAGCCCAGTATATAATCACTGGAAAAATTTATATTTACCAACTAACACAAGGAGAAAGTAGTAATAATAATAATAATAATAACTTATTCTCAAATAACAGTTTGTTACATGAGGCATGGAGGACGATGGAAGACGTGAGAAGCAAGAGAGGAGCTGATATAGCATCAGACCATCAAATGCTGATCGTCAAGATGAAATTGAAACTCAAGAAGCACTGCACAACGGGGTGGACAACATCACAGAAGTTCAATACGGCCTTTCTTCAGGATACTGACAAACTCAACAAATTCAAGATAGTCCTCAGCAATAAGTTCCAGGCCTTTCATGATCTACTCAATGGAGAAGGAACTACCATGGAGAGCAACTGGAAGGGGATCAAAGAAGCAATCACTTGAACATTCCATGAGGTTCTGAGCCACAAGAAGCACCATCACAAGGAATGGATCACTGTTGATGCACTGGATAAGTTCAAGAAAGGAGGACCAAGAAAGCAGCAATCAATACCAGTCGAACAAGAGCAGAAAAAGCCAAGGCACAAGCTGAATACACAGAAGTAAACAAACAAGTGAAGAGGAGCATCAGAACCGACAAACGTAAATATGTGGAAGATTTAGCAACGACGGCGGCAAAGGCTGCAAGAGAAGGAAACATGAGAGAACTGTGTGACATAACAAAGAAACTCTCTGGAAATCGCCGCAAACCAGAACGACCAGTGGAAAATAAGGAAGGTGTGGTAATCACCAGCATTGAAGAGCAACGAAACAGGTGGGTAGAACACTTCAAAGAACTCTTGAATCGACCAGCTCCACTGAACCCACCCAACATCGAAGCAGCCCCCACGGACCTCCCGATCGATGTTGGCCCACCAACAATTGAAGAGATAAGCATGGCCATCAGGCGAATCAAGAGTGGCAAAGCAGCAGGACCAGACAACATTCCAGCAGAGGCACTGAAAGCAGACGTAGCGGCAACTGCAAGGATACTCCACATTCTCTTCAATAAGATTTGGGATGAGAAACAAGTACCAACAGACTGGAAAGAAGGACTTCTGATCAAAATACCGAAGAAAGGCGATCTCAGCAACTGTGATAACTACAGGGGCATCACTCTTCTCTCAATACCGGGAAAAGTCTTCAACAGGATATTGTTAAACAGGATGAAGGACTGTGTAGACGCCCTACTTCGTGACCAACAGACAGGATTCCGTAAGGATAGATCGTGTACAGACCAAATCGCAACTCTACGGATCATTGTGGAACAACCAATTGAACGGAGTTCATCACTCTACATCAACTTCATTGACTACGAAAAAGCATTTGACAGCGTGGAAAGAACAACACTATGGAAACTTCTTCGACACTACGATGTGTCTCAGAAGATAGTCAATATAATACAGAATTCCTATGATGGATTAAACTGCAAAATCGTGCATGGAGGACAGTTGATAAAGTCGTTCGATGTAAAGACCGGTGTTAGGCAAGGTTGCTTACTCTCACCCTTTCTCTTTCTCCTGGTGATCGACTGGATCATGAAGACGTCAACATCTGAAGGAAAACGCGGGATACAATGGACATCTAGAATGCAGTTGGACGATCTAGACTTCGCAGATGATCTGGCCCTTCTATCCCAAACGCAACAACAAATGCAGGAGAAGACGACCAGTGTAGCAGCAGTAGGTTTCAATATACACAAAGGGAAAAGCAAGATTCTCCGATACCACACAGCATGCACCAATCCAATCAAAATTGACGGAGACGATTTGGAAGATGTGAAAACCTTTACATATTTGGGCAGCATCATCGATGCACATGGTGGATCTGATACAGATGAGAAGGTGCGGATCGGCAAAGCAAGAGCAGCATATTCACAACTGAAGAACATCTGGAGCTCAAAGCAACTGTCAACCAACACCAAGGTCACAATTTTCAATACAAATGTCAACACAGTTCTACTGTATGGGGCAGAAACCTGGAGAACTACGAAAGCCATCATCCAGAAAATACAGGTGTTTATTAACAGTTGTCTACGCAAAATACTTCAGATCCATTGGCCGAACACTATTAGCAACAACGTACTGTGGGAGAGAACAAACCAGATCCCAGCGGAGGAAGAAATCAGGAAGAAGCGCTGGAGGTGGATAGGACACACATTGAGGTAAGCACCCAACTGCGTCACAAGGCAAGCCCTCACATGGAATCCTCAAGGCCAAAGGAAAAGAGGAAGACCAAAGAACACATTACGCCGGGAAATGGAGATAGACATGAGAAAAATGAACAAGAATTGAATGGGACTAGAAAAGAAGGCCCAGTACAGAGTGGGTTGGAGAATGCTAGTCGGCGGCCTATGCTCCATTAGGAGTAGCAGGCGTAAGTAAGTAAATAAGTACATGAGGCATGCCAGTTTACTGACTGTGGAGATAGACGTGACAAGCTTATTTTGTAAATAGTTTTTAATATTATTTGTATTTATTTCGTCAATCTTTCACTGTACGCATATTTATCATCAAATGATGGTACCTGTTTTTTTAGTAAATGACCTTGACCACACTTCTCGTTGTGTTACTGACATAGCGCGACATACTGTTGCTTGCTACCAAATACATTGCTATACACACATACCTTGTCCTACTTTCGCTTGTGATTGAGCTAACTGCACTCTAAATCAAATATTATCTGCATTTATAGACTGTGAGTCGGAACATATCATACCGAACATTGGTTAACATTACTGGAGAGTCCAAAAACCTGAACGGAATTACCGAACATTTATAACTGTGGATTCTCAGTACCAGACCCAATCCGAACACGCATCAACTTGGTGAACTTAAGTAAAGTCCCAATTCTTCTGTTGTATTTGTAACAATTAACACTATTATTTAATCCTAATAACTTGGTAAATACTTTTTCACGTTCATATTTGTCTGGTCCACCACAAGACAAGACCAAATTATTACAAACGATACTATTTTCACTTCAGTTAGTTACTCAGCTGGGTTGATAAGTTATAAGAAACGAATTTAGATGCTTTTAGTCAGTATCACAGTTGGCGCGCTTTATGAAGGGTGCGTTGCGACGTGCAACTGATGGCCAAGGCTAGATCCAAGTGAAGTTAGGGGCTTCTAGAAATCTCAACCTTATATCCCTCTGGAATATCTGAGGCCTTAGTGATGGTGCAGGAGGAAGTCACCTGTTCCATATCTGTTTTCGGTGGCATATCTCAAGGGGGC